TGTACTTTTTTTTATTTCCATATAAAAGAATTAGCTATGTTATGTGAGAGGCAGAGATGGCAGAGAGGTCTTCCATCTGCTGGTTCACTCCCCAACTGGCTGCAACGGCTGGAGCTGCGCCGATCTGGAGCCAGGAGCTTCCTCCAGGTCTTCCCACGTGGGTACAGGGGCCCAAGGACTTGGGCCATCTTCTGCTGCTTTCCCAGGCCATAGCAGAGGGCTGGATGGGAAGTGGAGCAGCCAGGACTCGGGCCTCGAACCGGCACTCATATGGGATGCTGGCACAGCACTGGCTCTTCTATGGACTATTAGTAGTGAGATTGGTGGTTTTGGTTGTTGGGCTCTAGAACTAATTAGAACTAAGCATTTAGGTTGATGTCTTCAGGACTTCAACTGAATGGGGCTAAGATTTTATCAAATTTGATTTGCTAAAGTGAAGTGTAAACTGATGAAAGACTTTTGTGCCCCCTCCCACCCACACATAAAAAAACCCAAGAAGCAAAATTTAAAAAAACAACAAAATGGGAGAAAATATATTTGTACCATGTATGTAAAGTGACATACATTTCTAAAATAACAGACTTTTTTATTGGTAAGATAAACAATGAGAATTCATGAAGGACTTTATTTCTTTATAATTTTTGTTTAAAAAATTAATTTCATTTTCTTTGAAGAGGCTGGGGGGAGGGAGAGAGAGAGATTGAGGTTGAGTATCTTCCCACTCCTGGCTTATTCTCCAAATGCCTGCAACATTGAGAGCTGGTCCAGACCAAGATCAGGAGCCCAGAATTCCATCTGGGTCTCCCTTGTGGGTGGCAGCAACCCAGCTATTTGAGCCTTCACCTACTGTCTCCTATCAAGAGGAAGCTGGAATTGGGAGTGGAGCTAGGTTTTGAACCCAGGTATTCCAATATGGAGTGTGGGCATCCCAAGCAGTGTCTTAGCTGCTAGCCCAAATGTCCATTCTTCCACCCTTTTCTTGATGAATTTGATGGCCCATTTGGCTTTAGAGACCTTGAGAAGCTTTATGGCACACTACTCGTGGGCAAAGCCACACACCTTTAAAAAAACAAAAAAAAATTTTTTTTGACAGGCAGAGTTAGAGACAGAAAGGTCTTCCTTCCATTGCTTCACCCCCCAAATGGCCGCTACAGCCTGTGCTGTGCCAATCCGAAGCCAGGAGCCAGGAGCCAGGTGCTTCTTCCTGGCCTCCCATGCGGGTGCAGGGCCCAAGCACTTGAGCCATCCTCCACAGCCTTCCTGGGCTGCAGCAGAGAGCTGGACTGGAAGAGGAGCAACCGGGACTAGAACCCAGTGCCCATATGGGATGCTGGCATCACAGGTGGAGGATTAAACAAGTGAGCCACGGCACCGGCCCAAAACAAAAAAGAAAGACTAATCCTGGCCTCTGGTTCACTCCCCATATGCTACACTGCAGGGGTTGGGCCCGGGCTGGAACTGGGAACCAGGAATTCAACCCAGGATTCTCTTATGTGAGTGACAGGAACCAAATCTCTTGAGCCATCACCATTGCCTTCCAGGGTCTGCATATCCACACACCTTTTGGACCATGTTCTGCACTGACTCTCTATGCTTGATGAAGAAATTTCCTCTTCCACAAAGCTTTCTTCGTACCCATGGTGGCTGCTGAGCCTCAGCCTGCTCACATTCTTAGTTACTCTATGGCTCTCCACTGTGGGTAGCCCAGAGGCATGACTACTGTTCTTCAGTGATAGCTGTGGTGGAACTTTTGGGATCGTCTTATGGTTTTTATATGTAACATCCAAGATTTTTAGTTGCAGTTAGTAGGAAGGAAAGGAAAAAATTCTATTTCTGGGAGGAAAAGTCATCATTTAGCTTATTTTTAAAAAGTTACATATTTATGCAGGTAGAAAATCTGTAATATTCAGTTATCTCTGAGGAAGGAAGTTTAAGAGCTTTACTTTGTATTGCCTAAATAAAACATGCATTTCAAATAGTACAAATGTATAGAGTAAATGTGACTATCCCCTCTTAGTCCCCATTTACCCTAAGTTATTTGTGAAGCTTTCCTATCTTATTTCTATGTGTAAATGTCAGTAGATAGGCTTATAGTTAATTTTGTTTGTTTCTGTGTAAGTCAAGTGGCATCATAGCTGGGCATTTTTAACTAGAAAGGATTCTATTGCTGAAACCTACAATTTTAAGTCTCTAAGTGACTCAAGAGCTGCTCGTAACTATTTCCTTATTGCTTTTTTGGCCCTAGAATCTATATTAATCCCAGATGTTTTGACTTTAATTTGCTATTTTGTCATGAAGGGAAAATATATTTTTGATAGCTTTATAATTATACTAGACACAATGAGCTTTTGAAGGTCAGTTTATTCACTGACTAGTTCATTTTTCAAAAGATTTATTGAGTATTTATTATATGCCAAACAATTCTAGGTACTGGAGATACAATAAAACCACAAACAAAAATTGACCTCATGGAGCTAAGGATAAGCAGAAAGTAAGCAAATGTGTAATAGGTCAGGTAAGTAAGTGCTATAAAAAAAACAAAGCAAGGAAGGGGAATGGTGTCGAGGAATTTTCTGTTTTGATTAGTGTAGTCAGGGGCAGTCTTGCTACTGAAGGTGGATTTTGCAGGTGGTTCAGGGAGGTGGACATGTTCAAGTAACAGAAAGGAGGGCAGTGTAGCTGGAGTGGGATGAGAGAGGGAGTATGGCTCAGGGAGGACATGAGAGAGGTGTTTGTAATCTAATCATGAGGAGATTATAAAACCTTTGCGTTTACTGTGCATGAGTTGGGATACTGTTGGACAGTTATTTCTAAAGAAAAGTGACATGATCTCATATTGGCCTTAATTTTATAATGACAGAATTATGGAGCCCGCTGAAGTGGTTCTTGTAATAATTGAAGTGATTACACTGGCAGCTTGGATTATAATGCTGATGGTAGAATTGGTGAAAAATGGTTAACTAGATTCTGAATACTTTTTTTTTCTGGGGCATTTTATTATAGAAAAATGAATATAGATACACCTTGAAAGTAGCGCTAATAGGACATGCTGGTAGATTAGTAAAAGATTTGAGGAAAGCTAAGGAATCAGGAAGGACTCTAGGGCATGTGTTGTCATTTTCTCTCTGTTGCTTTGCCTTTCAAAGAGACGACAATAAACAAATGAACTTTTTTTTTTTTTTTTAAAGATTGGGGCCAGCACTGTGGTGTAGCAGGTAAAGTCGCCACGTGTAGCACCAGCATCCTGTATGGGCACCGGTTCAAGTCCTGGCTGCTCCACTTCTGATCCAGCTCTCTGCTATGGCCTGGGAAAACAGTAGAAGATGGCCCAAGTCCTTGGGCCCCTGCATGTGCTTGGGAGACCTGGAAAAAGCTCCTGGCTTCAGATTGGCCCAGCTCCAGCTTTTGCGGCCATTTGGAGAGTGAATCAGCGGATGGAAGACTTTTCTCTCTCCTTCTCTCTCTGTGTAACTCTTTCAAATAAGTAAATTTTTTTTTTAAAAGGATTAATTTATTTGAAAGAGAAAGAGGGTGAGACTGAGAAGAAGGACGTTGTGCTTAAGGTTAAATGAGGCCATCAGGATGGAGCCCTAATCTGATAGAACTAATATCCTTCAAAAAGAGAAAGAAACTAGCAGTCTGTCTTTCATGTAAGCATATAGTGAGAAGGTGGCAAGCCAAGAAGAGAGCCCTCATGAGAAACTGAATTTTGCTAGTACTTTCACTCTGAACTTCCCAGCTTCTAGAACTGGGGGATATACATGTCTGTTATTTAACTCATGCAGTTTGTGGTGTTTTGTTACAGTAGTCACAGCAGACTAAGACAGATGGCCCTGGGCCTTATCTTAAGCTTTGGCCAGCAAGAGCAGTTATGTAATGTACTTGAATCTAGAGTTTGAAGAAGACAGCTTCTTGTTTGTTTTAAAGATTTATTTATTTATTCAAAAGGTAGAGTTACAGAGAGGCATGAGCAGAGAGAACAAGAGAGATCTTCCATCTGCTGGTTCACTCCCTAAATGGCCAAAACGGCTGGAGCTGGGCCAATCTGAAGCCAGGAGCCAAGAGATTCTTCTGGGTCTCCCATGCTGGTGCAGGGGCTGAAGGTCTTGGGGCATTTTCCGCTGTTTTCCCAGGCCATAGCAGAGAGCTGGATCGGAAAGTGGAGCAGCTGAGGCTCAAACTGGCACCCATAAGGGATGATGGCACTGCAGGTGGGCAGCTTTACTCACTGCACCACAGCCCTGGCCCCAGAAGACAGCTTTTGAAGAAAGAGTGATTCTATTCAGAAAAAAAGTTTGAGAACCAATGGTTCGGATGTTCAGTAGTTTCTGTGTATTATAAAAGTGTGCCTGTCACATACTAGGCATGTAATAAATACTTATTGAAAGACACTGGCGCTGTGGCTTTCTTGGTTAATCCTCCGCCTGCCCCGCCAGCATCCTATAGGGGCGCCGGTTCTAGTTCCGGCTACTCCTCTTCCAGTCCAGCTCTCTGCTGTGGCCTGGGAAGGCAGTGGAGGATAGCCCAAGAGCTTGGGCCCCTGCACCCACATGGGAGACCGGGAGGAGGCTCCTGGCTCCTGGCTTCAGATCAGCACAGTTCTGGCCTTAGGGCCATTTGGAGGTTGAACCAACGGACGGAAGACTTTTCTCTCTGTCTCTCTCTCTCACTGTCTATAACTCTACCTGTCAAAAATAAATGAATAAAAAGACAAATGGTAAGATTTATAGCTATCAACTAGTATATATAATGCATAACATCAAAGTTAATTTCTGATTATTGCAGAAGTGGATTATCTGCAATCCAGACAATCATTTTAGAATGTATTCTGACAACCTGAAATTGGGCTATAGGGAAAGATTTAATACTGACCTCAGTGATGTGATTCTTTAGTTGCTACTTATGGGCAGGCAGCCAGTTATCAAGTTTATCAGTGTCTTCATTGTGCTAGTTGACTGGAGAGTACACATGAGTGAGTCAGACACTTCCCTCAGGGATGGTAATATTTGTTTGAACAACCGTGCTTAGGTAGATCAAATAATAAGTAACGTAACTATATAATCAAATGATAGATGCTGCAGGAGTTACAGAAAAGAGATTTTTGGGGATTGTAGTAGTTAGGTAAGACTTGTATGGGACAAGTTTACTTTTTCTACTTTTGAGGAAATACAAAGGCTTTTTTTTTTTTTTTTTTTTGAGAGGCAGAGTTAGAGTCAGAGAAAGAGGTCTTCCTTCTGCTGATTCACTCCTCAAGTGGCTACAGGGCCGATCTGAAGCCAGGAGCTTCTTCTGGGTCTCCCACGTGGGTGCAGGGGTCCAAGAACTTGAGCCATCTTCTGCTTTCCCAGGCCACCAGCAGGGAGCTGGATCAGAAGTGGAGCAGTCTGGATTCCAGCTGGTGTCCATATGGGATGCTGGCGCTGCAGGCAGAGGCTTATCTTGTGTCATAGCGCTGGCCTCAATACAAGGGGATTTCAAAAAGTTTGTGGAAAAATGGAATTAACAGAGAAGTTTAAATCCATGCATAGTTTTTTCATAATATGCAGTTCCCATAAACATTTTTTTCTTTTTTAGATTTATTTTATTTATTTTAAAGGCAGAGTTAGAGGGAAGGAGGAGGGAGAGGAGGCAGAGTCTCTTCTCGTTCTTCCACGTGAGTGCAGGGGCCCAAGCACTTGGTCCATCCTACTGCTTTTCTACTTACTACATCCTACTTACTTGATCCATGCTACTGCTTTCCCAGAGCATTAGCAGTGAGCTAGATTGGAAGTGGAGCAGCTGAGACTTGAACTGGCATCCATATGGGATACCGGCGCCACAGGTGGAGGCTTAACCTACTATACCACAGTGCTGGTCCCTACTTTGTTTTGTTTTAACTTTTTAAAAGAAGATTTGTTTATTTGACAGGCAGAATTACAGAGGGAGAGACAGAAATCTTGCATCTACTGGTTTGCCTTGCAATGGCCAGAGCTGGGCCAGTTTTAAGCCAAGAACCTGGAACTCCATATGGATGTCCCTTCTGGGTGTCAGGGGCCAAAGTACTTGGGCTCTCTTCTGCTGCTCCTCCAGGTGCATCAGCAGAAAGTTGAGGTGGATCAGAAGTAGAGTAGTCAGGACTCAAACCCATGTTCACATGGGATGATGGTGTTCCAGGTGGTGGCTTAACCTGCTGTACCACAACACTGGACCTCTTCTTTAATTTTATTTTTATTTTTTTTTAAGATATTTTATTTATTTATTTGAAAGGGTTACATAGAGAAGGAGAGGCAGAGAGAGAGGTAGGTCGGTTGGTCGGTCGGTCGGTCGGTCGGTCGGTCTGTCTGTCTGTCTGTCTGTCTTCCACCCGATGGTTCACTCCCCAATTGGCCACAACAAGCCAGTGCTGCGCCGATCCAAAGTCTGTCTGTCTGTCTGTCTGTCTGTCTTCCACCCGATGGTTCACTCCCCAATTGGCCACAACAAGCCAGTGCTGCGCCGATCCAAAGCAAGGAGCCAGGAGCTTCCTCCAGGTCTTTCCATGTACAAGGGCCCAGGGACTTGGGCCATCTTCCACTGTTTTCCCAGGCCACAGCAGAGAGCTGGATTGGAAGTGGAGCAGCTGGGACTCGAATCGGTGCCCATATGGGATGCTGGCATTGTAGGTGGAGGCTTTTCCTGCTACGCCATAGCACTGGCCCCCCTCTTCTTTATTTTTTACAGGCACATTATACTTTGAAGGTAATGGGGTTGCCATTAGTGTACTCAGTTTTTAGAAGAGGATAGTGAGGGTTGCATAAGATGATCCATTCACAGGTAGCACTCTGATGTGGGCAGTCAATGCACTAATTTCCAATTCAAGTTATTGTCTCCCACAGAGGCAGAAACACTAAGTGGAGATTTGTATTGTGTGCAGATAGTAGCAGGATTTATTTAACAGTGAAGGAATAAACACACATTCATGTGTGAGTGTGGGCTGCCCTGCATAGAGAAATACCCATCATGAGTGGATCAAAGAGTTGGCCGCAAATGAGAAAGAAAAATTGGAAACGATACCTCTGAGAGTGGGAGAAGTCCATCCTAGATCATTCCATGGTGGAAAGAGTCCCGTGAACTTTTTAAAGACACCTCATAGGTGAAGTTTTCAGATAAGAGGGCTCATGGTTGCTCATGTTCTTGCAACAGCAGAGCTCAGTTTCAGAGGTTCATTACTGGGTGGGATTCTGTGTTACTTTCCCACACGAGTAGAGATAATATGTGCCAAAAATTGATTAATTGGGTGTCTTTTTGGTGTTACGCACGGTGTTAAGTGCCAAAGGATTCAAAGTGAACAAATATTTTAAGTATGTGGAGGAGTAAATACTCAAGCAATAGTATAAGCATTTTGTTTTGCTAGAGTATCTTTTTTTTAAGATTTATTTATTTATTTGAAAGAGTTACACAGAGAGCGAAGGCGAGGCAGAGAGAGAGGTCTTCTATTCTCTGGTTGATTCCCCAGATGGTCACAATGGCTGGAGCTGCGCCGATTCAAAGCCAGGAGCCAGGAGCTTCTTCTGGGTCTCCCACGTCAGTGCAGGGGCCCAAGGGCTTGGGCCTTCCTCTGCTGCTGTCCCAGGCCATAGCAGAGAGCTGGATCAGAAGTGGAGTAGCTGGGACTCGAACTGGTGCTTAAATGGGATGCTGGCACTGCAGGCAGTGGCTTTACCCACTACGCCACAGAGATGGCCCCTATGGTATGTTCTAATAACTTTCTTTTAAAGCATTCATGGAAGGGGCCAGTGCTGTGGCATAGTGGGTTAAGTCACCACCTGTAATGCCAGCATCCCATATGGGCTCCAGTTTGTGCCCTGCTGTTCCATTTCCAATCCAGTGCCCTACTAATGCACCTGGAAAAATCAGCAGATGGCCCAAATGTTGGGGCCTCTGCCACCCACATGGAGACCCAGATGAAGCTCCTGGCTTCAACCTGGTCCAGTCTAAGCTGTTGTTGCCATTTGGGGAGTGAACCAGCAGATAGAAGATCTCTCTCCATCTCTGTCTTTGTTTCTGTCTGTAATGTTTTTAAATAAATAAATCTTTAATAAAATAAAGGATACATGGTAGATAATCACTGAATTTGTGTGCCAGAACATTCCCTCCCTGTCTCTTTTTTATAATTATTTTTATGTGAATGTTGTATTGAAGATAATTTTTCTTGGGAAACGTGAAAGCAAGGAACTATGCTTTCAAAATTTTAGTTATTATTGAAGAAAAGGCTGATGTTAATATCATTACTTTTCTGAGGCAACTGCCAGTTCTTTTTCTCTATATCTTTTAGATTTGCTAATTCTTTAGTTTTTGTGGAGTTTTATGAGGATGTTTCTAGATGTTTCTGAGTAGGACATGTATTGGGCTGTCAGTGTGAAAAATAGATGTTTAATGTTTATGTGTATGAGACTAAAAAATTTATGAGAAATTTATTTTTCTGTTCTCTTTTCTGGAGCTGTTTGGTTGAATGTTGGTTTTTCTGGATTGAGTCTTTACCTTTTGAGAGAGAGAGAGAGAGAGAGAGATTGATTCATTTTCCATCATGCTCAAACAGCCAGTTGGGCCAGGATGAAGTCAGGAGCCAAGAACACCATCCTGGTCTGTCACATGGATGGCAGGCCCGAGTACTTGCTTCATCATCTGCTGCCTTTCCAGGCACATTAGTAGGAAGCTTGTTCAGAAGCAGAGTAGCCAGGGCTTGAATTAGGGCAGTTGGATATGCAAGCAGCAGCTTAACCTCCCATGTCACTATGCTGACCCCAATGAGTTTCTCTTAAAATCCATACTAGGCTGCTTATATTTAAGAATGATTGATTATATGGATTAATCAAGGTGGATTTCCTCCACTACTATGATGGTAGACCTTTCTCCTCAGAAAGATTGATTGGAATTTCTGTGTTTGCATGTGATGATGATGTTTGCTGTATCTTTGCAGGAAATATCTTTGGCCTATAAATAGTTGAAGGTGTGGGTTAGGGAGTTGGCCGTAAGACTGGAGTGACAGTTTTAGAGTAAGGAAGGTTTTACTTCCTTCTTTCTGTTTTCTCCATCAGTATGGTCATGTGTTGATTGGGTTTGTAATGAATAATCTTGATTCAGTTGGTGACCACCTCTCTTTGTTTTGATACTGACTACCCTTTTATTTCCTGAAATTTTTGGGGAAAATATTGAAATACATAGACAAATGGAAGGATTATACAATGAGTCCTCATATACCCTTGATATAGTTATAAATTTTATTGTTTACCTTATTCACTCAGTTGCTCTCTATATATGTAAATTTCCTGACCACTTGAAAATAAATTGTAGACGTGACAGTACTTGAGGCCCAAGTACATTAGCCTGAGGGGATTCTCCTTCATACCCACCATACCATGATAAAACTCAAGAAATTTAACTTTGATATAAGATCTAGGGTGGGTTTGGTGCTGTTGCACAGCAGATTAAAGCCAAAGCCTGCAGTGCCAGTATCTCATATGGGTGCCGGTTCGAGTCCCAGCTGCTCCACTTATGATCCAGTTCCCTGCTAATATGCCTGGGAAAGCAGTGGAGTATGGCCTAAGTGCTTTGGCTCCTGTACCCACTCCTGGTTCATTGCTTCTGCCTGGCTCAGCCCCAGTCATTGCGGCCATTTGGGGAGTGAACCAGCAGATGGAAGATATCTCTGTGTCTGTAACTCTGCCTTTCAAATTAGTAAATAAATCTTAAAAAAAAAAAAAAAAAAGATTGAGGATATGGTCCAAATTCACATTCCCTTAGCAGTCCTCCAAGTACCATTTATAGCTCTTTTTTCCTCTCATGCAGGACTTAATTAAGGTCACTTACTGCATTTAGATATTCAGTCCCTTTTTTCTTTAATGTTAAAAAAATGGCTCCCTGACTTTTTTTTCTTTTTTCTTGCTTGACCTTTGAAGAACTCAGGTCACCTATCTTATGGAATGTTCTACAGTCCAGACTTGTCTGCTTTTTGTCTTTTTTGTTACTGTTGTAACTGCTGCTTCATTGAATTTTAGTAAGAGGGAGAGGCAAATGGTATGCTCAGGCCATCTGTATTTTTTTGATTTTTATGGTTATATAATGTTCCATCTTTTCCCTATTTTCATCTTTCTGGTGGTTTTAATTTTTCCTTTACTTTTTGCTATTATACATAAACTTGCTTGGAATATTCTGTTACATATCTTTATGAGGACAATTCCAAAATATTTGCCTAAAATGGAATTAAAAGAGTAGTTCATTTTGATGCAAAATTTTTTTAAAATTCATGCAGAATTTTTTTTTAAAGATTTATTTTATTTGAAAGGCAGAGTGAAGCAGAGTGAAGGAAAGAGGTCTTCCATCTGCTGGTTCCTTCCCCAAATGGCTTCGATGGCTGAGGTCATGCCCAGTGGATACCAGGAGCCAGGAACTCCATCTGGGTCTCCCACCTGAGTGGCAGGGGTCTGAATACTTGGACCATTTTCTGCTGCTTTCCCAGGTGAATTAGCAGGGAGCTCGATCAGAGCTGGGCAGCTGGGATTCTAACTGGTTCTCCTATATGGGATCCGGTGTCCTAGGTGACAGCTTAACCCTCTGTATTGTAAAACCAGACCATGACCTCATTATAGACAGAGAGACAGAGAGAAAGGTCTTCCTTCTGTTGGTCCACCTCACAAATGGCCGCCATAGCTGGCACACTGCGCCAATCCAAAGCCATGTGCCAGGTGCTTCTCCTGGTCTCCCGTGTGGGTGCAGGCACTCAAGCATTTGGGCCATCCTCCACTGCACTCCCTGGCCACAGAGAGAGCTGGACTGGAAGAGGAGCAACCGGGACAGAACCTGCGCCCCAACCGGGACTAGAACCTGGGGTGCCGGCGTCGCAGGTGGAGGATTAGCCTAGTGAGCCGTGGCACCGGCACCTTTTTTTGTAATACGTGTTTTCCATGAATATTTTGAACTTTTCATACATTATTTCCTTTTGAAAAATTTCCCTTGTACTACACTTACTGGACTGATGAGACTTTTAGGTCAAGGATCTGAAAAATCATCAATTATCTCTAAAAATGTTTAAATCAGCTGAATCAGTTATGACTTCCTGATAAAAATGTACAGGAGTACTTCTAACAAAGTTCTAATTCTAAAAACAATACCCTGGATATTTGTATGATTACGAGTGACTTTGTTCTTGTAAACTTATTTAACAAGAAAATGTAAAAAAAAAAGTGTTAGGGCTTCTTTAGCTCCCTTTCCTCTTCAGTGCTCTGTCTCCTCTGTTTGTTGTGTACCCTTGCTGATCTTTTCCTGGGCTGGCGTTGGGGCATGGCAGGTTAAGCTCCCACCTGTGACACCATCATTCCAAATGGGCACTGGTTTGAGTCACAGCTGCTTGACTTCTGATCCAGCTCCCTGCTAATACATCTGGGAAAGCATTGGAAGATAGCTGAAGTTCTTGGGACCCTGCCATCTATGTGGGAGACCTAGATGGAATTCCCAGCTCCTGGCTTCAACCTGGCCCAGCCTGGGCTGTTGTGGCCATTTGGGGAGTGAACTAGCAGTTGGAAGATACTTCTCTCATTCCACCTCCCTCCTCTGCCCCCTGCATCAACTCTTTTAAATAAATAAAAAAACTTAAAGTGTTAGGGTCCCTTTAGCCCCCTTTCCTCATCTGTCTCCTGTGTTTGCTGTATATCTTTTCTAGATCTTTTTGTATGTTTTTTGGACATAAATGTCAAACAAGTGTGTATATATGTTTTTTCTTTTTACATATTATGAACACAGAGATTCTGCATTTTGTTTTTCTCACTTAACAGTATGTTTTGAGATCTATGTTAGCAATCAGAGATCAGTCTCACGCTGCTGTGTGGTATTGCCCAGTGTGGATGGACTTTATTTTATATATGTATCCTTGTTGCAAGACATTTGAGTTGTTTCTAATAGTTTAAGTAACTTTTCTTTCCAGGATATCAAAATCTGAAAGTATTGAGAGACTGAAAGGTCTGTGAGGTCGCTGGTTTTTTTTGTCTTAATTTTACATGGTTTTATGAGTGTTGTAGAAAGAGGAAGTAATGTTTTCCGTCATGTGATAGCATTTCATTTGATTTCTTCATTAAAAACATGTAATCTATAAAAAGAAAATCACTCTTGGATACAAATTATTATTACTGTTTTTAAGATTTATTTATTTATTTGAAAGAGTTATAGAGAGAGAGAAGGAGAGATTTTCCATTTGTTGGTTCACTCCCAAAATGGCTGCAACTGCCAGGGTTGGGCCAAGTGGAAGCCAGGAGCTTTGTCTGGGTTTCCCTTTTAAGTGCAGGGACCCAAGCACTTGCAAACTTGGGCCATCTTCCGTTGATTTCCCAGGCATGTTAGCAGGGAGCTGGATCGGAAGTGAACAGCTGAAACCCACATGGTGCCCATATGGGATGTTCACGTTGTGGTTGGTGGCTTAACCAATTTTTATGCAGCGTTTTGTGTGTAAAGATATTTGAATTACTTACAGGTTCCCAATGAAAAAGATTTATAAGCTGCTTTAAAGTAATGAGTAAATCAGTAAACATTAAAAAGAAAATAGCATTTCTTCCTCGATTCTAATGTTAATACCTACCAAGAAGAGGTAGAAACTTTAAGAAAGGAAATATAAATCATCCCAAATTTCACTCCAAGTAGGCAATATATACTTATTTTTATTTTTTGACAGGCAGAGTGGACAGTGAGAGAGAGAGAGAGAGAGAAAGGTCTTCCTTTGCCGTTGGTTCACCCTCCAATGGCCGCCGCGGCTGGCGCGCTGCGGCCGTCGCACTGCGCTGATCCGATGGCAGGAGCCAGGTACTTATCCTGGTCTCCCATGGGGTGCAGGGCCCAAGCATTTGGGCCATACTCCACTGCACTCCCTGGCCACAGCAGAGAGCTGGCCTGGAAGAGGGGCAACCGGGACAGAATCTGACGCCCCGACTGGGACTAGAACCTGGTGTGCCGGCGCCGCAAGGCGGAGGATTAGCCTAGTGAGCCGGGTGCTGGTGCAATATATACTTTAAACCCATTAGGTCTCAAGTTTTCAATTCTGCAAGCACTCAGTGACATAATAGTTATTTTGAAGTTACTATTAAGTGATATACTTATTGCAGATTTTAAGTGTGTATAGGACAATGGAACATAGTATATATAGCATTTCTGTGACTGTTCTCACAAATACTGGATTGTATGTTTCTTTATGTAATACATATACACACAGACATTTGTATGTAATATGTAAGTGGAATTATACTTTCCATAGTATTCTGTAGTTTTTTTCCACAGTGGTCATAAAAATCTTTGACATTGAATATACATATATATCATGCTCTTAATGTCTGTGAAGTATTTCTGTTTATAAAATATAACTGATTGATTCTGACCAGTCAAATGGTAGAGGTGGTTCTCCAGTGGGCTTTATCTCTAGGGAATTCTCTGGGCCAGAAATTTTGTGGAATCACCTATTATAGCACCAAAAGGTGGTTGAGGATTTAATGACTTTCTGGTGGAGTTCATTTTCTCTGGAATTCTCTAGAATTCATGGCAATGTGGGGAGAGTATGGGAATAGGGCTCAGAGTGTGAGTTCTTTTGTGGGATATGAGGCTTGAGATATGAATTCACATAATTTGCCAGGCTCTAAGTGAAGAGAATTAGGAGTGTTGGGGTGCAATTGAGAAAATAATGGAAACTGTGAAGGGCAGCAGAGCAAAGAAAAGACCAGAGCCTTACCAGTTATGGAAAGGAAGGGACTTTGTGTTTTTTTTTTTTTTTTTTAAATAAGGCTAGTTAGGGAGGTAGATCTCTCGCAGAGCTGGCTACTGATCTTTTGGCCTTCATGGATTGAATGTTTATTTGTAGATAGCTGCCTAAAATGTTACTTTCATCTCACAACCTAGACGGAGTAGAATACCAGGTGGTCAGGATGTACCTCCAACTATTTAGTTCTCTTACTTCCTCTTTTCTTTTTTTAAAAAAATGAGAAGCATTCTGTTTGTACTTTGTGTTCTGCTTCCTTAAAAAGCACTCCAGGCATTTAGCCAATCATTTTAAAAGAATATTATGCTTTTTAAAAAAGATTTTATTTATTTATTTGAGAGGTAGAGTTACAGACAGAGGGAGAAACAGAAAGGTCTTCCCCTCCACTGGTTCATTCCTCAAATGGCTGCAACAGCCGGAGCTGGGCCAGCCCAAAGCTAGGAGCTTCTTCTGGGTCTCCCACGTGAGTGCAGGGGCCCAAACACTTAGGCCATCTTCTTCAGCTTTCCCAAGGCCATAGCAGAGAGCTGGATTCGGAAGAGGAGCAGCTAGGACATGAATATGGGATACAGACGTGGCAGGTGGAGGCTTAGCCTACTATGGCACAGCCCTGGCCTCTCTTATGCTTTTCTTTAAAGAGTATATAGTTAGCCTTGTTTAAAGAATGTCTTTATTCTTTGTTTATTTTTGTTACTTTTTTGAAGATTTATTTATTTGAAAGGCAGAGTTACGGGGGTAGGGAGGGAGACATAGATGTTCAATTAGCTAGTTCACTCCCCAGATGGCCGCAGTGGCTAGGGCTGGGTCAGGGGGAAACCAGGAGCTTCATGCAGATCTCCCACATGGGTAACAGGGGCCCAGGCACTTGGACTATCTTCTGCTTTTCCCAGGTCATTAACAGGGAGCTGGATTGGAAGTGGAGCAGCCAGGACACTAACCAGAGCCCATATGGGTTGGCAGCTTTACCTGCTATGCTACAATCCAGATCTTCTTTCTTTATTTTTGAAATGATTTATTTATTTGAAAAGCAGAGTTAGAGAGAGAGGGAGAAAGAGATTGATCTTCCATCCATTGGGTCAGGCTGGAGCCAGTGGCCTGGAACTCTGTCAAAGTCTTTCGTGTGGGTGGCAGGGGCCCAAGTACCTGGGCCACCTTCCACTGCTTTCCCAGATGCATTAGCAGGAAGCTGGATGGGAAGTGGAGTGGCCAGGACTGGAACTGGCACTCATGTGGGATGGTGGCTTTGGCCCAGCCTGCTGTGCCACAAAAACAGCCCCAGATTCTTTCTTTATTTTTTTTTTTGAAAAAAGAATCAACAACTGCTACTACTACTACTAATTAGGAAGATACTGGGATATAAAAAAAGATACCCTGACTCCCAAAATATGTGTCAGAAAACCTGGGCCCAGTTCTACTCTGCTGTGGTTTAATCTTTGGAACAAAACTTTATTCAAAATATCTAGAGAGGCTGGCGCCGTGGCTTAATAGGCTAATCCTCCACCTGCGGCGCCGGCACCCAGGGTTCTAGTCCCGGTTGCCCCTCTTCCAGGCCAGCTCTCTGCTGTGGCCAGGGAGTGCAGTGGAGGATGGCCCAAGTGCTTGGGTCCTGCACCTGCATGGGAGACCAGGAGAAGCACCTGGCTCCTGGGTTCGGATCAGCACGGTGCGTCGGCCGCAGCACGCCGGCTGCAGTAGCCATTAGAGGGTGAACCAACAGTAAAGGAAGACCTTTCTCTCTGTCTCTCTCTCTCACTGTCCACTCTGCCTGTCAAAAAATAAAAAAATAAAATAAAATAAAAACTATCTAGAGAGTAGAACAGAAAAGGAGTAAATTTGGGGGTGGGGATTGTGCTTGTTTATAATTCATTATATAGCACTTTTTAAAAATAAAGATTTATTTATTTATTTATTTGAAAGGCAGAGTTACAGAGAGGCAGAGAGAGAGAGGGAGAGATCTTCTATCCACTGGTTCACTCCCCAAATGGCCGCTACAGCCAGAGTTGAGCTGATGCAAAGTCAGAAGCCAGGTGCTGCTTCTGGGTTTCCCACGCAGTTGTAGGGGCCCAAGGAATTGGGTGGGCCATCTTCTGCTTTCCCAGGCCATAGCAGAGAGCTGGATTGGAATTGGAGCAGCTGGGACTTGAACCAGCGTCCATATGGGATGCCGGCACTGCAGGCGGCAGTTTTACCTGCTACACAACAGTGCCTGCCCCAGCACTTTTTTTTTTTTTTAAGATTTATTTATTTATTTGAAATTCACAGTTAGCGGGAGAGAGAGAGATCGAGATCTTCTGTCTTCTATCTGGTTCATTCCCCAAACGGCCACAACGACTAGGATAGGGCCAGGCTGAAGCAAAGAGCTTCATTCAGGTTTCCTGCATGGGTGCAGGGTCCCAAGCACTTAGGCCATCCTCCACTGCTCTGCTTTCCCAGGCACATTAGCTGGGAGCTGGATCAGAAGTGGAGCAGCCATGATTCGAACTGTTTCTCATACAGGATGCCAGTGTTGCAGGCAGTGGCTTTATCCATTATGCCACAATGCTGGCCCAATAAAGCACCTGAAAAGTAGAGATGAAGTAGTATCACTCCATGCTCTCTGCAGTTTTATTCTGCTTTGATAGATGCTGTTTCAAAATTGTTTTTTGTTCCCTATCTCTCTGTTAATGAACTTAAATACTATGTGAAAAGCTAGAATATGTACCTTAAAATAATATGGTATTCGTTAACTTAAACTTTTGTTGAATGAAAGCAGCTTCATAGACGTTGGATATGTGAAGATGGGTAACATATGATCCCCACCCGTACAGAAATAATTGTTTAAAAGAGTGAGATATATGAAGAGTGAAATATGTAGGAGAGTGAGAAATATATGTTCCAATTATGTATATGGTCAATAGCAATTGGACAAAAAGGAGGGGCTATTCAGTTCTGTTTTGTGATGTAGAGATGCCTAAAAAAGCTCATCATGGCAGATGACTTTTAAGAAGGAGTTGTTTGCTTTGTAGGTGGGGATGGGCTGGGACAGAGTGGAGGCTGTGGAGAGACTGCTCAGGTCAGTTAGGAGCATCATTACCAGTGCCAGAGAGGCCTGGATCATCATGACATCACAGATGGCTTTCACTGGGTAATATGATGTGTGTGGAGTTGTTGTTCTAGAAACGTAGTCAGAGGAGGTAGAACTTTATTCAAAAGATTCATAGATGGGTAATTAATAAAGTCAGGAAAAGATTATTTGGCAAATAGGGAGTGACAAGATTCTAGGAAGGGGCATTACTTTGCAGCTGTTAAAGTAATCTACCTCAAACTGACATGGGCCTTCACTCTCCAAATGTTTAAAGATCGAAATGGAACTTGGAAGAATAAAAGATGTAAAAACAGTGAAACACTTGAATGATTTTGTTTGTGTTTGGTGAAGGAGAGGGAAGAATCAGGCTGGTTCTCCCTGGGCTTTAAAAGATGCTAGTGCTGTTTGAAGAGATGCTAGGTTGGAAGGAATAATAATTAATTTGAATGTGTTAAGTTGGTAAGAGACATCCAGAGGCCGGAGCCGTGGCTCACTTGGCTGGTCCTCTGCCTGCGGCGCCAGCACCCCATGTTCTAGTCCCGGTTGCTCCTCTTCCAGTCCAGCTCTCCGCTGTGGCCCGGGAGGGCAGCAGAGGATGGCCCAGGTCCTTGGGTCCCTGTACCCACATGGGAGACTGGGAAGGAAGTACCTGACTCCTGGCTTCGAATCAGTGCAGCGCCAGCCGTAGTGGCCATTAGGGGAGTGAACCAATGGAAAGAAGACCTTTCTCTCTGTCTCTCTCTCACTGTTTATAACTCTCTCTCACTGTCTAACTCTGCCTGGCAAAAGAAAAAAAAAAAAAAAAAAGAGAGACATCCAGAAAGATGATGTGTTCTTATAGGTATTTGGCTCTGGAGCTTCAGGTAAGGGTGTATGGTCAAGAATTGAGAGTCATCGGATTGAAATGTTAAATTTCTCTGCTAATTTCTAAATTGTTACTCTAATTTCTTAAAGTCCTCAGAGCTTCCTTAAAACAGCTATTTTAAATTTTTGTCTGGTTATTTGTACACTTCTGTCTCTTTTTTAGGATCAGTCACTAACATCCATTGTTTGGTGACATCATATTTCCCTGATTATTCTTGATGCTTTGGCTGTGTATCTTTCTTTATGTATTAAAGAAGTGAGTGCTTATTCTGGTCCTTGTAGTCTAAGTCTGGCTTTGGAAACATCCATGGACAGCAGTCCCTAAGCCGATGACTGCAGCAGCTATTGTAGAACTACGGGGTGCCCTAAACCCAGGGCTGCTACAAGCTGCCACAGGCCTGCATGGAATCCTGTGTCTTCTGAGGCTGGCCCAGTACTGTACTGGAATCCTTGGTCAGTGAGGTTGGTGCAGCACAGGGTCACTCTAAACCCAAAGCCCCAAAGGTCTGCCTGCTATTGATATTTGTCTGAAGCCCAAGGCTGCCGCAGTTGGCCAGCGGCAATACGGGCTGGTACTCAAATCTGTCTGACAGGGGCTACAGTTTCTGTCTGATTCTGGCAGTGGTAGGGAACAATAAGGCCTGCAAAATTATTTACTCTGGCAACTACACGCAGGACTCGAAATTCAATAAATCTGTAGCAGGCCAATTTGGAAGTTGGTAATTTTGTATGGCCTGTGAATGATTTATAAATAACCAAATGGCACTTGCAGAAAAAAGATTCCCTGCTGCTGCAAGAAGGTCAGTTTGCAGATACTGGCCTGTATTTAGGGGCTGTTAAGATTTTGCCCAGTGCTGGTTTTTACTGTGGTGGGCCTAGTGTTGGGGCCAAAGATAAAGTTCTCTCTCTCTCTTTTTTTTAAAGATTTATTTTATTTATTTGAAAGAGTTAGAGAGGGAGGTAGAGCCAGAGAGAGAAAGAGAGAGAGAGTGCAAGCAAGCAAGAGTGGTCTTCCATCCACTGGCTCACTGTCAAAATGGCCGCAGCAGCCAGAGCTGAGCTGATCCAAAGCCAGGAGCCAAGAGCTTCCTCCAGGTCTCCCACACGGGTGCAGGGGCCCAAAGACTTCAGCCATCTTCTGCTTTCCCAGGCCACAGCAGAGAGCTGGATTGGAAGAGGAGCAGCTGGGACTCGAACAGGCACCCATATGGGATGCCGGCGCTGCAGGCCGGGGCTTTAACCCTTTATGCTGTAACGCCGGCCCCTATGATACTATACTTACTTTGCTCCCTTTCCCCTGAGCAGATGATAGCTCTCTGTTGTGCTATCTTGTTTTGGAGAAGGGGTGATGGAGGTGAAGTAAAACTGTCCTTCAATTAGCTATCCTTGTGGCACAATGAATTGAGCCACTGCTTGCATTGTAGGCATCCTGTATTGGAGCACCAGTTAGAGTCTCTGCTGCTCAGCTTGATCTAGATCCCTGCTTTTGCACCTGGGGAAGGCATAGAAAGATGATCCAAGTACTTGGGCCATTGCCAGCCAAGTAGAAGACCAGAATCGAATTCTGGGCTCCTGACTTCAGCCTGGCCCAGTCCTCATCATGGCCATCTTGGGAGTGAACCAGTGAGTGGAATATCAATCTGTCTTCTCTGTCTGTGTCTCTCTATCTCTGTCTCTTCCTCCCTCTTTGTTGCTCTGCCTTTCAAATAAAGGAAGTCCTTTGAAAAAACTGTCCATCTTACCCTCTTCAACGTGTCTCTTCTTGTTGTGCTGTGTTTTCTTAGTTCTTGTGCAGGTAATTCTGTATGGGTAGTTGTTCAGTTTGTTTCTTTGGGGATGATTACTGAAAAGTCTTATTCTGTCATTTTGCTCTACCCTCCTCTAGCGTGGATTATGGAACCATGCATGGAGTATAAATTTGGATTTTATATCCTTATGTGGCATAGCCTGATATTTTAATTCTCAGAGGTCTCTCCCATTCCTTTCCAGTGGGAGCAAGCAAATGGTGGCTTGCTGCTGCTCAGAGTATATGGGTAGAAAATTTCCAGCTTTCTTCTTTCCTCATGTTGATGTCCCCTTTTCAGACTTTTTGCCCTCAAAATAGGGGCTTTAATTTCAGCTTTCTCTCGAAATAGGCTGAGTTGGATGTTCTGTGTCTGGAGTCCCAGTAACCCCTTTGGACTGGTATCAGCCAGAGCTTATCTCTGGCTTTGAGTTCCTTTTTTCTGGCTCCTGGGCATTCTCTCCATCTTCCCCTTTGTGTGTTCAGCTATATATTCTGATTTTTCAAATTGATCTGGCATTTCAGTGAGTGTATTTGGGCATATGGATATATTAGTACAGTCTACCTTATTGCTTGAATCAGAACTAATAAATTATTTTTTTTTAAGATTTTTTATTTATTTATTTGACAGAGTTACAGACAGTGAAAGGGGGTGACAGAGAGAAAGGTCTTCCTTCCATTGGCTCACCCCCCAAATGGCCGCTACGGCCGGAGCTACGCCGATCGAAAGCCAAGAGCCGGGTGCTTCTTCCTGGTCTCCCACGCGGGTGCAGGCGCCCAAGCTCTTGGGTCATCCTCCACTGGCTTCCTGGGCCACAGCAGAGAGCTGGACTGGAAGAGAAGCAACCGGGACTAGAACCCGGCGCCCATATAGGATGCCGGTGCCGCAGGCGGAAGATTAACCAAGTGAGCCACGGCGCCGGCCCTCTTGGTTTATTTTCTACAAAAAGTATTTTAGGTCAGATTATATTCCTTTCTTTTTGAAAATATTACCTGTTTTTAAAATGGATGATACATGCACCTGGTCTGAAACTGGAAAGATAAAAAAGGGTATACATTTCTCCCTTTGCCCTACCTACCCTATCCCAATTTCCATTCACAGATACAACCAGTTAGTTACCAATTTCTCATGTATTCTAGCCATCTATTAGGGACATTTAAAATTATTTATTTATTTATTTTTATTTGAAAGCCAGAGTCAGAGAGAGAGAGAGAGAGCGAGCGAGCGCGAGCTCTCTTCCATTTGCTGGTTGCTTCCAAAATGACCAGAATGGCCAGGGCTGGGCCAGGCTGAAGCCAGGAGGTTCTTCTAGGTCTTCCACATGGGTGCAGGGGCTCAAGCACTTGGGCCATCCTCTGCTGCTTTCCCAGGCAGTTAAGGAGCTGATTGGAAGTGGAGCAGCCAGGACTTGAACTGGCACCTACATGAGATGTTGGCACTGCACACAGCAGCTTAACCTGCTACACCACAGTGCCAGCCCCTCGTGGATACTCTTTAAGAATTGTACCGATTATTAACCGATGCATGCTATTTTTTGCACATGCACAAATAATTGCCCAAAGAAGTGAGGGAATCTGTCAGATAAAGACCTCTCTTTTGAGTTCCTTAGCCAGTTTATACCAGATTTACTAACAGCAGATTTGTAAAATTCACTAATGTGAAGACAAGAAATGGAAGCCTAAGACTTAATATGTTTTCTTTCTTAGATCAACCTTTCTACTTCTCCTACACCTGCACAGTTAATAAGCCGTTCCCAGGCTTCCAGTTCTACCAGCGGCAGTATTACCCAACAGACAATGTTACTAGGGAGTACCTCCCCTACTCTAACGGCAAGCCAAGCTCAAATGTATCTCCGAGCTCAAATGGTAAGAAAGGAGCTACCATGTTTTTCCTGTGTTTAAGGACCAAAATATTTCTTGATTTGATGCAATAAGAGACAATTTTAAATATTTAGTAAATATTTAACAATTTATGTATGGATGTGCTTAGCTCTGTACCTTTATATATTGAAAAACTCTACTTTGACTCCAGAAGTTTTCTTGGTATAAAATAGTAATTATCAACAATGGGAAATTGCCAACAGAGTTTCTGTAAAATGAGTGATTATTTTTAATGTCAAATTTTGTCAATATCAGAATTATTTTTTCACATTTTAACATCTTTTCAATTGGGGTGCATTTTACAACTGATACCATCCTACAGTTATAGTTGATACTTATTGTGGTATGTAAAATAATTATATATTTTTTGACATCTTAGATTTGGTGAAATAGAAATGTTAAAAAGTTGGTTGTTTAGTATGTAGAATATGTCCTGGGATCTTCGGAAGTTGGAAATGGAGTTCCTGATAATTTACACGTGATTCTTGGCTTTAGTTATTTTCATCTCAAAATCTGTAAGGTTATTTGCTTTCTTTCTTTCTTTTCTTTATTTTTGTTTATTTGAAAGAGTTACAGAGAGAGGTAGATACAGAGAGAGAAATCTCCATCCGCTGGTTCATTCCCCAAATGGCCACAACGGCCGGAGCTGAGCGATCTGAAGCCAGGAGCCAGGAGCTTCTTCTGGGTGTCCCACGTAGGTGCAGAGACCCAAGAGTTTGGGCCATTTTCCACTGCTTTCCCAGACCATAGCAGAGAGCTGGAATTGGAAGTGGAACAGCTGGGACTTGAACTGGTGCCCATATGGGGTGCTGTCACTATAGGCAGAGGATTAACCTAATGTACCACAGCACCAGCCCCTGTTTTTCCTATGTTTGGATACCTACTGATTTCTTAATTGTTGAGCTTTAAGGAATATAAAAATTGACATTTATTTTACTTGCTTTCTTTACAGGAAGCTATACAAGTCTTTGGCCCTAATAAATATTATATTCTTATTTGTTCAGTGAATTGAATATATATCTGGATCCTCAGTTCTCCACCTAAAATTAGAAAGTTTATAGTTGTGCTTTTAATAGGAAATAATGACATGACCCATCTTTTATTCACTGATTAATTATTCAATATACATTATTGTACTCTTGACTTATTTTTCCCTGTGATCTTACTTAACTAATAATATGTCTTAAAATTAGTTTGAACCATTGGAATTGTTGCTGTGTGATCCTTTTTAACTTCTTAAATCACCAGTTTCATGAGTTAAGCTAAATGGAATATTCTTTTTTAAGTTAGTACTTTCAGGCATTTTGCAATGGAAATTACCTTTTTGTGAAAGTTAAACTTTTTTATTAAATTTACTTAACTTTAGTAAAATACCAAAGAAATGAAGTTTAAAAAATCCCTTAATTGATTGTTGTAATTTAAATAGCAATGAGGAATTGACTAACTCTTGATACAGTTTTGAAATATAATTTTTATTTGTTCTTTGAAACAATTGCCATAATTCTCTAAGTTGAATTAGATATTCTGAGTAGATTATATCATCTAGAAAATAATGCTGTTTGTATTAATATTTTTTAAAAATTTGAAAAAATGGTGATGAGTGAATACATACTTTTTTATGTGAAACTTTTTGCAGGCTCTTTGGTTGAATTTTGGCATACTATAGCATATAAAGGTACACATATACATACAGCATATATATATATATATATATATATGTGTGTGTGTGTGTGAGAGAGAGAGAGAGAGAAAATTTCCTTAGAATTAGTTTTAAAATGAAGAGGAACCTAGGTTTGTCCTACAGATCCTTGTTGTGGAGTGAGATATTAGAGTTTTCCTTGTGGTAGAGGACTGAACAGAGTTCTTGGTGTTTCTTTTCATGTTTCTAACTAAATTTAATTTGTGTCCCAAAATAATAACTGTAATTGTCTTGTAACTTCCTATTTTTGGCTTCTGCCATAGTAGTTTTGAACTGGGAAAAATTTAAGTGTAATAGCTTATTTGGGACAAAATTTTGTCTGAGAATTTTTTTTTATCACCAAAATATACTTTGTTTTTTTAGAGCACTGGTTATTTTTCTACTCGTCAGAATCATGAGCTGTTTCAAAATGTTTATTATTTTTTTTGAGTTCTCTATTATCAGAAACTTCTTTTTGTCATGTACAGCCTTTTGCTTAGGAGACAGTCCTAAACTGCATTGTCTTTCTGTCACAAATTTCAGTCTTTCTTGCCTGCTCTACATTGTGTGTGGGACATGTTCTTCTGTCTTAGGGTATTTTTTTGGTTTTCTGTCTGTACAGCTGATTTTCACACCCGCTACCACTGTGGCTGCTGTACAGTCTGACATTCCTGTTGTCTCGTCGTCATCGTCATCTTCCTGTCAGTCTGCAGCTACTCAGGTGAGCTTGTCTAGCTTCACATTGTGGTACTGAAGGACTGGATCTTTATGTTAAAGATAAACATTGCATTTGTGTTGAAGTTACTGATGGTTTCAGTGCTCTTTGTCATGTATTTCAGATTTAAATTTAGTAAAATACAATTAAAACTTCAAGAAAATGTTTTTGTTCTGTAGAAATTATATCATTAAGCAGAAATTTAGGTTACTTGACATCAACCAGTGTTAGTGGATTTTTGCTAATGACATTGTGTATTTAGTTTTATTGTAAAGTAGATTTACTTCTCTAATGATATGAGATTTAAATTACTTTGCAGTCAGGTAAAAAGTCAAATGGGTTTTAATTTTAAAAATTGAGAATATTTTAAATTTAAAAAACTGAATAGACTATTACTTTATTTGGTACTGTGGAAAAAAAAATTAACCTTAAGTTTTTTTGGCATGCCATTCAGAAGAGTATACTAGAGGTAGAATGTAGACCTAAAGCAAAAATCAAAAATAAAAAACTCCTAGAAGAAAATTTGGAAGACTATCTTTGCTACTCTGGGACAGATAAAACTTTCTCAGAGCAGAAAAACACTAACTATGAGAGAAAATCGTGACAAATTGGATTTTATGAAAATTAAAAATTATTTTTCAAAGACAAAGAGGCAAGTCACAGAGAAATGTTTAATTCCATGTATCTGTGAAAGAAAATGCCATTAAGAAGATCTGAAGAAATTCGATTAAAAATGGGCAAAAGATTTGAACATACTTCATAGAAGACAATATACAAAAGGCCTATACACATATGAAAGAATGTTCAACATTATTAATCATTACTGAAATGCAAGTCACAACCACAGTGAGTATCATCACATGCTCACTGTCATGCCTGAAATGAAAACTGATAATATATCATGTACTGGTAAGAGTGGAGCAACTAGATTCTCTTACATTGCTGGTGAGAGAGTGAAATGGTACAAACACTTTGGAAAACAATGTGACAATTCCTTAAAGTTAAATATATTCTTAACATGTGATCCAGCAGTTCTCATAGATGTTTACCCTGAGAAGATGTGAAAACATAGCATCCACATAATGGCATGCAAACAAACCTTCATAGCAGCTCCATACAGAAGAGCCCCAGAATGGAAACAACTAAATATCCTTTAACTGCTAAGTGGGTAAACAAATTGTGATATATTCATAGCATAGAATACTACTCAGGGTACATCTCAGAAACATTATGTTTGGAAAAAGAAGCTAGACACCAGAGAATACATATTTTATCATTATTTGAAATTTTAGAACAGGCAACACCAGGTATACTGGAAAAAAAATTATATTAATGGTACCTGGGGCAGAAGGTGGGAGAGATTGGTTGGGAAGAGGCATGAGTGAATTTGTAGATTGATGGAAATGTTCTGTACCTTGATTGGGGTGGCAGTTGTATAGTGTGTACGTATGTCAAGAGTCATTGCACCCATTCATTCATGTTATAAGTTACATTCCAGTTAGTTTGGCAAATATGAATTTGAGTAAAGTTTAAATTGAAATGAATGAACAAAATATTACTTGTATGATACTGTTTTTGGTAATTTTCATAGTAAATGTTTTAAGGGTTCATATGGCAGAAATGGATAAATACTTAGTATCATTCTGGTTTCTTAATCCATCTTGTAAAAAGAAACAAAATGAGATAGAATATTCTTATTTTTCATAGAATTTTTGTATAATTTTATTTAATCATAGTTAATTTACATGCATTAATATGTAATGATAGTGGTCATACTGAACTCAGATTCTCTGTGATCTTCCACAACTTTGTTGGACCATTCTTTCCATGTTTAAAAAATGAGACCTTTGTCTTTGTTAACTTTAGGATTATAGTTCTGAACTTCTATGATGTCTGTAGAATTAATTTGTTGAAGTAATAATCTTTCTGTTCCCTTTTGTTTTGACTTTATAAAATCTCATAGAACTTGACCATAACCAACTTTCAGAATATTTTTTTTTTTTTTTTTTTTTTTGACAGGCAGAGTGGACAGTGAGAGAGAGAGACAGAGAGAAAGGTCTTCCTTTGCCGTTGGTTCACCCTCCAATGGCCGCCACAGCCGGCGCGCTGCGACCGGCGCACCGCGCTGATCCGATGGCAGGAGCCAGGAGCCAGGTGCTTTTCCTGGTCTCCCATGGGGTGCAGGGCCCAAGCACCTGGGCCATCCTCCACTGCACTCCCTGGCCACAGCAGAGGACTGGCCTGGAAGAGGGGCAACCGGGACAGAATCCGGCGCCCCGACCGGGACTAGAACCCGGTGTGCCGGCGCCGCTAGGCGGAGGATTAGCCTAGTGAGCCGCGGCGCCGGCCAGAATATTTGTTTTATTTTTGCATTTGTTTGATTTTTTTACAGCAAAGATTTAATTTACAATATGCATACAATAAAACAAAATAAATTGAAAATATTTAAGAACAAAAGCAGAAATAAAAACTGAGAATATGACATGGAGCTAGGAGTGAGGTTGCCACTCAGATTACATGCATGAAGTCCCATACTTATGTTCAACTCCCACTTTAGTCCTTATTTTATGGCCTTAGACAAATTACCAAACATCTGTAATACTCATTCATACTTGTAGGGTACATTGAAGGATGAATAATAGGAATGTTAATTACTTTTTTGTAAATTAAGAAATAGGAAGACATGAGTTGAAATTATACTTCAGCAATAGTTGCCTGCCTTGTCACTTGCCAGCTGATTGATTTTGGGGAAGGTCACAGTACATCACAGTGTTTGTGACAGACTTTGGAGCCAGACTCTGTGGCTTTAAATATTTGCCCAACCACTTTCTTATTATATATCTTTAATCTGCCACTTCATTTTCAATATTAAATAAACATTTAAATAATTAGAATACTTCATAGGGTTGTGAGGATTCAATGTGTTAATAAACGTAGAACAGACAGTGTTGATAGATAGCACTCACTGAATGGTACTGTTATCCTTGTTAAGATCAGGTTTTTTTACTGTAAACTGGAAGTAGTAGCTCAGAGTTGTTAGAAGGAGTAAATGAGACAATAATTATAAAGCACTTGGCAAAGTACCTGCCACATAATAAGATATCACATGCTCCTGATTACTATTTTTATTCTACAATTTATGAATCTGAGTCACAAAGTCTGTTTTTAGCTTTCAAGTATCTCATAGTGAAAGAGAAACACAACCACTTAACAGTTTCCAAAGTAAAACCAGTTGCTTAGGAAAATACAGTAATTTCTGACATACTCTCTAGAGCATAATTTATTTTGTGGGTTTCTGTAAAGAAAACATATTACATCTTTAAAGCATCATTCATGTGAGCACAAAGTAATTTATAAAAGTGGTCTTCAGCGTTCAGTTTGGTTGTGTGGCTGTGTGTGATGATCTGACTTAATTCAAGGATGGACTTCTCAGAAGTAGGGAATGGGTTGACCCTTAAGAATTCTTTTTATGAAAGTTACTTTTTTTTGCTGTGCTTGGTAAATTGCAGTGAAAGTGTAGGACTGTTAGATTTGGAAAATTTGTTTCATTTTATATTTACAGTTTAAAAAAATTTTTAAGTACTTATAATTGAGAAATACCGATTTGGAGTTTCAGTACCTTTTAAGCTATAAAAATCAGTATAACTTAATTTTTAAGATTTATTTATTTATTTGAAAGTCAGAGTTATAGAGAGTCAGAGGCTGAGAGAAAGAGAAGTCTTCCATCCGATGATTCACTCCCCAGATGGCTGCAGCGGCTGGAGCTGCGCCCATCTGAAGCCAGGAGCCAGGAGTTTCTTCTGGGTCTCCTACGGGGGTACAGGGGTCTAAGCACGTAGGCCATCCTCTGCTCCTTTCCCAGATCATACCAGAGAGCTGGATCAGAAGTGGAGCAGCCAGGACTTGAACTGACACCCTTTGGGATGCTGGAACTTCAGGCGGCAGGCAGCCTTACCCGCTGCGCCATAGCACCAGCCCTATAACTTAATTTTTAAACATTTTTTATGGCATACTGCAAAAAAGAAATTTGGAACACTTTACTGTTATCTAATTTACCTCTTTATTTTTTTAAATGTTTATTTGTCTATTTCCTCTACTTGAAAGGTAGAGCAATAGAGCGAGGGAGGGACAGAGAGATCTTCCATTCACTGGTTCACTCCTCAGTTGCCTGTGACAGCTGAATCTGGACCAGGCCAAAGCCAGGAGCCAAGGAACTCCATTCAGGTCTCCCATGGGGGTGTCTAGACCTAAGCACTTGAGCCATCATTGTCTATCTCTTGGAATGCTTTAGCAAGAAGCTGGATTTTAAGCAGAGAAGTGGGACTCAAACTGGCACTGTGATATGAGATGTGTGCCTCCCAAGCAGCGACTTAACTTGCTGCCACAATGCCTGGCCCTATTTACTGTTGTAAATGCTTTTCTTCTCATCACCACACCAAGAAACAAAACAAAATAGATTTTCAGAAAGCTACAATAGGACAAAGAGTATTTTATAGGAAAGGGAGCTGGCCTTGTGATATAATGGGTCAAGCCACCTGCAGAGCTGGCATCCCATTTGGGCACTGGTTTGAGTCCTTACTGTTTCACTTCCAATCCAGTTCCCTCCTTTGCACCTGGGGAAGCAGTAGAGGATGGCCCAAATGCTTCAGCCTCTACCCATGTGGGAGACCCGAAAGAAGTTCCTAGCTCCTGTTGTAGCCTTCTGGGGAGTGAACCAGAGGATGGAAGACCTCTGTCTCTCTGTCTCTCTCTCCCTCTGCCTTTCAAATAAATTAAATCATAAAGTAAGAAATTTCATTAAGGTTATCCAGATAATGCTGTTAGAATTGAGAAAAAGAAAATATGACATTCCTTTTTAGTTTCTTCAAAGAAGGAATACTATGATAATTTACATGGAGTTTCTTAGATTGAAGTTAAATAATTGGTGTGAGAGTATTTTGGCAAGGAGAGCCCATTTAAAAAATTGAGGTGTGAAGTTAGCAAAAATACCTTATAGTTTGATCATAAGAGATTTGGATGAAAATGAAAGGTGGACATTAGAGTGTCCTAATATTCATTATATAGGAAAAGATGGGTTCTCTCTCTTCAAAAGTAAAATTCTATAAAATAACTCTGAATATGCAGTCTTTCAATTTTAAAAAGTAAAATTTTAGTTTATGTATTTGAAAAGCAGACAGACAGAAACAGAGAGATCCTCTATCTACTGATTTACTCCCCAGAAGCCTGCAACAGCCAGAGCTGTTCAAGACCTAAGCCAGGAGCCAGGAACTCATTTGGGGTCTCCCAGGTGGGTGACAGGGACGCACGTACTTGGGTCATCATTGATTCTTCCTCCCATGGAAGCTAGAATCAGAAGTAGATCCAGGACTCGAACCTAGATACTGCAGTATGTAATAAGAGTGTCCCAAGTGGCATCTTGGCTGGCGCTGGGGCTCACTTGGCTAATCCTCCGTCTGCGTCGCTGGCACCCCGGGTTCTAGTCCTGGTTGGGGCACCAGATTCTGTCCCGGTTGCTCCTCTTCCAGTCCAGCTCTCTGCTGTGGCCCGGGAGTGCAGTGGAGGATGGCCCAGGTGCTTGGGCCCTGCACCCGCATGGGAGACTGGGGGGAGGCACCTGGCTCCTGGCTTCGGATTGGTGCAGCGGCCATTTAGGGGGGTGAACCAACATAAGGAAGACCTTTCTCTCTGTCTCTCTCTCTCTCTGTCTAACTCTGCCTGTCAAAAAAAAAAAAAAAAAAAAGGCATCTTAAACACTGAACCAAATACTTGCCCTGTTAATATGTCATCTCTTAACAGCTAATTAACTTTATAATATGTTTTGGTGGTACAGTTTACATATTTGGAATTTATTTAAATCATGCCAATATTTAAACTAAGATGACCATAAATGTAGCAGTATTCTAGAATTTAAATATTCATATGTTAGGAGTGTGAAACCTTTTTTCTGCCAAGGGCCCAATTGGATATTTACAGCCTCATTCACGGGCCATACAAAATTATCAGCTTAAAAATTAACCTTTTGTAGATTTATTCAATTTTGAGTCCCTCTTGCAGTTGTCTTGGCATAGGACCAGACAGAATGATTTTGTGGGTCTTACATAGCCTGCCAGCCTGACGTTCCACACCACTGATTAAAAAAAAAAAAGTATATACACACATACACACACACAGATTTTCTTTCAGAATGCAAGAAAACAACCAGAAAATTAATAGGAAAATAGATTATTCTATAGAAATGGATATATAAGTTTTTTAGAGTTCATTTAAAAAAATATTTATTTGAAAGTGGAGGGGGTAGTAGGGGGAGGGAAGGAAGAGAGGTAGAGATATCTATCCATTGGTTTACTCCCCAGATTGCCCCAACAGAAGGGGCTGGGCTAGACTAGAGTCAGGAGCCTGGAACTCCATCCTGGTCTATCACATGGGTGGCAGGGGCCAAAGTAGTTGGGCCGTCTTCTGCTGCTTTCCTAGGTGTACTAGCAGGAAGATGAATTGAAAGTAGAGCTGCCCAGACTGGAATCTGTTGATGTAATGCTGACATCACAAGCAGCCACTTAACCTGCTGAGCCAGTGCCAGCCGCATATGCTTTTTATTTGAAGAAACACTTTTAAGTTAGGTTATTATTCACCCTTTGGTTTTTATTATTATGTGGTGTACTTTACAGATCATTTGTGACAAATGCTAAATTTTGTATTGTCTTTATCTCGCTTCCTGGGAGATTTCATGTATTTCCATGAGATATTTGTTTAGATGTTTGGAATAAATATGAATAGATTTTAATGTTAGCCTAAGAAAAGCATAAATATATCTAAGGACCTAGGGAAAAAGAAAGTAGTCGTGTAATTTATATATATGTGTGTATATATATTTCAAAATCAGATACAGGAGAATATCTCAGAGCTGTGAAGTTCCTGTTATGTTTGCAACTCTGAACCTCAGGGAGTACAAAGAATATTAGAAAGGGAAACCTACTTGTGAGTATCTCAGTATCTCACAGACAAGTGCATTAGTACTTCTAAAAGCTAGATATTTGTTAGTGCTGTAGGCCAGTAAGACCCAAATTCTATGGGAAAACTGTTCTAAATGGGAGGGAGAAATTATTTTCTACCTCAATCTTTGGGAATGTTTCTTGGGGAGGGTGAAGGGGGTTTTATTGGACTTGGAAGAATGGGTTGGGTTTCAGGAGACAGCTTTGAAAAATGATGGCATTTAGGCAAGAGCTTGAGTAAGGGCCCACCTGAAGGAAGTTCTGTTGTGCTTGGAGAATGGTGAACAGAAAAGTTTGACTAGAGTGGTAGCCCTGTGGGCTGAAAGAGTACAAATTGAAGCTCAACTTCTTCAGAAGTTGCTTTCCCAGGCCATATCAGAGAGCGGAATCAAAAGTGGAGCAGCCGGGACTCAAACTGGCGTCCATATGGGATGCTGACACTGCAGGCAGCAGCTTTACTTGCTACACCACAGTGCTGGCCTCTATTATTTTTTATTTTTGTGTTAAACTTTGATAATACAGTATTTATTAATCCATTTATATTTACATTGATATGAAAGATTGAGAAAAATCAGAAAAGACTTTATTTTTTAAGGATGTGTTTATTTATTTGAAAGTTAGTGTTTATAGAGAGAGGAGAGACAGAGAGATCTTCCATCTTCTGGTTTCACTTTGCAGAGGGCTGCAATAGCCGGGGGTTGGCCAGGCCAAAGCCAAGAGTCAGGAGCTTCTTCCAAGTCTTTCACGTGGATGCCTGGGACCAAGCAATTGGGCCATCCTCTGCTGCTCTCCCAGGCCATTAGCAGGGACTTGGATCAGAAGTGGAGCAGCCAGGACCTGAACTGGTGCCTATGTGGGATTCCAGCAATGCAGATGGTGGCTTAACACTGCACCAACAGTGCTGGCCCTGAAGACCTTGTTTTATGTGGTCTCATTTAGAAAATTCTTTGATTACCTTAGAATTAGTTAAAACTTCAAATAGCCTGATGTGAACATTTACTTAGGACCTGCTGTTCGCTGAACATTTGGCACTTTGACAGAGAAAGTATTTGCCTTTGAGTATCAGTTAATGATGTATGGTTGCAGAGTCAGAATACATATGAAACTGAAGAGCACTTATAAGGCAGTGATGTGATACATTGCATATCACTTTGAAAACTCTTTCACTTCAGTTTTCCTTCCTGGGTCAGTGATAGCATAAATGTATTTGGTGCATTCATTCTAGATAGGCAAGAAATGAAGCCCCTTTTGGAGAGGCATTTTCTACCTTGCTGTTTAGCAATCTAAATGTCAGGTGAGAGTAATTGGGACAGTTCTTGCTACTGTTTAGACTGGTAGTATGTTTAGAATAGTTCTCAGTATATAGATAGGAGCCATCACAAAAAGCCATTTCAGGACCATGCACAGTCTTTTCAGTTTGTGAGATCTAGTTCTCAACAGCAATGAGTGTTAAGTAACAACATCAGTAAAGCTTAAGGAATTTACAAAGGAATTTTCTGAAAATGCCTTTCTTAATCAGCACAGTGGGTAGGTGATTGAATTAATTTTCTTAAAAAATTGGTGTCCCCTTATCTCTACCATTAGGATTGACCACTTTTAAATGAAGAATGTTAGAGTAATTTCCTCGTTTTCATAATTCATTTTCTATCACATTCTGTTTTCATTTAGTTCTTCATAATTGGTTCTTCCTATTTTCCCTTCCTCCTCCCTTTCCTTCCTTTTGTTTTTCTTGCTATCTTTTAAAAAATTTGCCACTTAATACTTAAGATTATTTAGAATAACTCTCTTTTTGGATTAATCAGTTGTTACAAAGTTCTTGGTGCTCCATGAATGAAGAGCATATCATAAATGTGTTGTCATTATTGTTATACTGGTAATGATTATCGCATTAATTAACATCAAGTATTTTCATGCTTATTTTCTGTTATGTGCTTCTTAGGTTCAGAATTTAACATTACGAAGCCAGAAGTTGGGTGTATTATCTAGCTCACAGAATGGTCCACCAAAAAGTACTAGTCAATCCCAGTCATTGACTATTTGTCATAATAAAACAACAGTGACCAGTTCTAAAATCAGCCAACGAGATCCTTCTCCAGAAAGTAATAAGAAAGGAGAGAGCCCAAGTCTGGAATCACGAAGCACAGCTGTCACTCGGACATCAAGTATTCACCAGTTAATAGCACCAGGTGGGATAAAACTTTTGTTGAAAATAGTTTAATTGTTCAGAACAAAATATGTGCACTAATTGAACAAGAATGACATACATTTTTTAAAAAGATTTATTTATTTAAAAGAGTAACACAGAAAGAGATCTTCCATTTGTTTGTTCATTCCCCAAAAGTGACTGTATAGCCAGATTGAGGCCAAGCCAAAGTCAGGAGCTTGGAATTCCATCCTGGTCTCTAATATAAGTAGCAAGGTCTCAGGTACTTGGGCCATTCTCTGCTGCATTAGCAGACAGCTGGATTGAAAGCAGGGCAGCTGGGACTTAAACCTATACTCTAGTACAGGATGCTTGTAAAAAAAAAAACAAAACAGCTGTGGCTTAACCTGCTGTGCTACAGTGTCAGCCTGGACAGTTAATACTTTTTAAAATGTGAATTAATAACTTCACAAAAGGTCATCTCAGTATGTAGCTTGAAAATAGAAAAATTTAAAAACTCATTAGCTAAAACAAATTGTAATAATGAAATAGGTGTCTTTTGTTAATTAACATTTGATTAAAATCTTCATTGTGCACTGTTCTCTCCTTACATTGATAAAGCCTTTTAGCTTTAAGAAAAGACTTGCCTATACTTAATTTGATTTAGTGGAATAAATTTAAGAGTCTTAAAAAGCAAATATATTCTTTTGTTTAAAGTTATCAGTGGTGAGAGGAATTTGTCTCTTTATGACAATAAGGATTATTCATTAATATTTTCCTTACCATGATTTTTTTTTTTCATCTCTGATTTCATCTGAGAGAGAGATGGCAGGGTAATGCCCAGGTGGTTTTTCTTCTCATCAAGCTTTGCAGCCCGCCTGGTGTTCCCTCTTTTATTTATTTATTTGTTTGTTTATTTAAGATTTATTTATTTGAGAGGCAAAGTTAGGGACAGAGAGAAGTCTTGAATCAGCTGGATCACTCCCCAAATGACTGCAGTGGCTGCAATGGCTGGAGCCCAGAGCTGCTTCTGGGTCTCCCATGCAGGTGTAGTGCCCTAAGCAGTTGTGACATCTTCCACTGCTTTCCAAGGCCATTAGTAAGGGAGCTGGATCGGACGTGGAGCAGCCGGGACACGAACCAACACCCATATGGGATGCCAGCACCAGAGGCAGAGGGTTAACCTACTATAACACAGCACTGACCCTGTTCCCTCTTCTTTCTACAAATAACCTTGCTGTGTAGCTCCAGCTGAAAATGTTGAGGCCATTCACTATGAGCTTCCTTCCTGTCTCTCTTCATTCCAGAATTTCCCAGAATTCAGTTTTCTTCACTTCTTCAAGTCAGCACCATTTGCTTATGTCATTGAACCCATCTTTTTAAACTACTCCTGGTCTTCTTTTGTAGTTGCAGCATCTTTTGTCCTCTCAGACTGGATCTTTTCTTTAGCTTCTCAAGCATAATGAGATGCCCCCATTCTTAGTATCTCTATATGTTGCTGTACTAGCATAATTATAGTTTATTGAGTGTGATGAGCTGGGCTAAACACTGCACATATGCTCTGTAAAATAAAAATCTTCCTTTGTTCTGGCATCCTTATCAGGTAAACATCTTTCTGACTTTTTTAAGCTCTACTTTTTGAAGATTTGTTTTACTTTTTTTTAAAAAAATTTTATTTTTGACAGAGTGGACAGTGAGAGAGACAGAGAAAGGTCTTCCTTTTCCATTGGTTCACCCACAATGGCTGCTGCAGCCGGTGCACTGTGGCCGGCGCACCGTGCTGATCCGAAGCCAGGAGCCAGGTGTTTCTCCTGGTCTCCCATGCGGGTGCAGGGCCCAAGGCCTTGGGCCATCCTGCATTGGCTTCCTGGGCCACAGCAGAGAGCTGGAAGGAAGAGGAGTGACCGGGACAGAATCTGGCACCCCAACCAGGACTAGAACCTGGAGTGCTGTCGCCGCAGGCGGAGAATTAGCCTATGAACCCTGGCGCTGGCCTGAATATTTGTTTTACATAACTGAAGTCTGCTGTTTTCCACCTAAACCTATTTCTCTTTTTATGCTTCCTCTACATTAATATTGCCAATAATCTTGGCATCTTCTGATTCCTATACTTAGAAATTTCTCCTCATTTTGAGCCTCTGTAGCATTTTATGCTCCTTTATGGTTCCTTTTCTTCTGTAGTTGTTGTTTTTAAAAGATTTGTTTACTTGAAAGGCAGTTACAGAAAGAGAGCGAGAGAGAAAGCTTCCATCTGCTGGCTCACTGCTCATGTGGCCGCTGGGGCTGGGGCTGGGGCTGGGGCTGGACCTGGACCTGGTTGAAGTCTGGAGCCTGGAACTCCATTCTGGTCTCCCACCTGTTTGTCCGAGGTTCAAGTACTTAGCTGTCCTCCACTGCCTTCCCAGGCACACTAGGGAGCTGGGTTTGAAGTAGAGTAGCCAGTGTCCACATGGGATGCTGGCATCACAGGTGGTTTGCTTAGCCTACTCTGCCACAAAGCTGACCCCTCTGTGGTTGTTTATATGCTTACTGATCTTAGGTTCTCTACTCAAACACTGTGCTCCTTGAGAGTAGGATCGTATGATTGATGCTTTTGTTTGTGTCAGGCACTATTTTATCACTTTAACTTTATTAACTCTTCAATCCTTTTTCAGAGTCACCTTTTTTTTCTTGTATCTTGATAACACTAAGTGGTTGTAACTTATATGAGCTTACTTAGAAGTGGGCAGTATATATTTGAAGGATTAATACCTCATTTATAAACCTTTGGATTTTGGAAATTATAGCACAGTCTTTCCCATTAGTGTTACTTAAGTGTCACTCAGAATTGTCAAATCTGAATTGTAAGTAAGTACTACAGGCTTTAATAAAACATACAAATTGGCCGGCGTCGCAGCTCACTAGGCTAATCCTCTGCCTGCGGCACCGGCACCCCGGGTTCTAGTCCCGGTTGGGGTGCCAGATTCTGTCCCGGTTGCTCCTCTTCCAGTTCAGCTCTCTTCTGTGGCCTGGGAAGCCAGTGGAGGATGGCCCAAGTGTTTGGGCCCTGCACCCGCAAGGGAGAGCAGGAGGAAGCACCTGGCTCCTGGCTTCGGATCGGCGCAGTGCGCCAGCCGCAATGCACCAGCCATAGCGGCCACTTGGGGGGTGAACCAACAGTAAAGGAAGACCTTTCTCTCTCTCTCTCATTGTCTAACTCTGCCTGTCAAAAATAAAAAATAAAAAATTTTAAAAAATAAAATTTAAAAAATAAAACATACAAATTAATAAACCCATTCATAGTACATGAGATGTGACTTTCTTTATACATATCTGTGTGCCAGGCTCCACTCCTTCTGTCACTTGATAACTGGATTTTTGCACTGCTCTCTGCAGAATATACTCAGCCTCACACCATTATCTGGGCAGAATTGATGGTGTGGAGCCAAATGACTACTTGGAATGATTGCTCAGGGATAATTTCTATTGATTCCTATAAATTTGGTTTTTAAATATTTATTTATTTGAAAGGCAGAGTTACAGAGAGGCAGAGAGAGAGGTCTTCCATCTGCTGATTCACTCCCCAAATGGCTGCGCTGGAGCTGGGTTGATCTGAAGCCAGGAGCCAGAAGCTTCTTCTGGGTCTCCCACATGGGTGCAGGGGCCTAAGGACTTGGGCCTTCTTCTACTGTTTCCCAGGCCACAGCAGAGAGCTGGATTGGAAGTGGAGCAGCTGATTTTCAAACCGGCACCAATATTGGATGTTTGCACTGAAGGCAGCAGCTTTACCCGACCCACTATGCCATAGCACTGACCCCAATTCCTGTAATTTTTATAGATAATAAAGAAGGGTAGATTAATTTCCTTCCAAAGAGAATGCTGCCTTCAGAGAAAGATGAGAACTCTTTCAACTTTAGTTTAAGCAGGAGATCTACTTTTGGATTTTCAGTCTCGCTTAACTTCTAGTACCTGCTTCCAGGTTGCTACATATTTTTCCCTCTTTTCTCAATAGTGTGATATCATCCTTATAGTTTGCTTTCCTCTGGTGGCCAGTGTTTTATGTAATTGTGGAGGAGGCCAGTAAATCAAAACCACCAGAGTCTCAGGTCAGTTTCAGTTCCACATTCAGGTCTTAAATTTTCCATAGTGTTGTTGATTAGAAACAAAACCATGTGGCATACCCTATACCAATTAACCTTTATACTACCAAACTTGTAGGTTTGTAAGTTTGTTCAGGCTCCATACTGCAGTTATTCAGAGCCATTAATATCTTCTATGAGGAAACAGCTATGTTTTTTCTCCTTTTATTGGCAGGAAGTTAATCTGAAGCTACATATTTTGACATATTCTAAAATTTGTAATTTGTCCCTTTCCTTAATTGGGAAAACTTTCTGTGTTTATCATTTTATATGTAAAAAACTACTGATATTCTAATGTAGTGTAGTTTGATGATTATTATAATGGAGATGATTATTGTTTCCTTACATGTATTTTTTAAAGTGGTAAAAGAATGAGTTCTCTTTATCATTTCTTCTTGAAATAGAATTTCTACTTAATGATAATTCTAATTTTTTTTTCTTTTATTTGAAAAGCAGAGCAATACAGAGCTGAGGGAAGAGACTGACCTTGTTCATTAGGAGAGAGTGATTAATCGATTGATTGATTTTCCATTGGCTATTTCACTCCCCAAATGGCTAGGCTGGACCAGGGCAAAACTAGGTCTACCATGTGGGTGGAAGGAGCTCGAGTCCTTGAACCATCTTCTGCTGCCTTCCCAGATACATTAGCAGGAAGCTGGATTGGAAATGATGCAGCCGAGACTCAGAACTGGTGCTCATATGGGATGTTGGCATTGCAGATGGTGGCTTAACCTGCTGTGTCACAACACTGACCACATTAATTCTATTTTCAGTACATAAAATAGAATTTTAATCAAATGTCTGAAAATCATAAACTGTAGTAGAACTGAATTTTTAATAGCAATTTTTAGCTCCTTTATGAACCTTTTCTAATTGCTTTTGCAGACATTATTCAATGTATAGTGAGAAGATCCTGTATTAGCCT